TTAAAAATAATAAGTATAATATTTAAAAATAATAATAATAAATAAAACAAACGAATCAATTTATTAACCTATGACTCGACCCATAATTCATCTTGATTGATAATATGAGTTATTTATGGGTCAGGTCAAGATCAAGTTAACGGTCAGGTGGATTTTTCCTATGTGTAAATGTCACGTTCTCACGTTGTGACGCCACGAAACGAGCCAAACGGCAGACATTTATACAGTAGGATAGACAAAACACCGTTGGATCCTTTGACCGTACAACTACAAAACCGCTTCAAACTTTGTCCTACATCAGCAGCCCAATAAGATCCCTCCACGTCAGAACCGTACTCAGAATGCCAACAACGATCGTGCGGAATTCTAGTCCTCAACAGTCAACACAACAGTTCAAATATTATGGTATCTCCGGGCCCCCCAGAATCTCCCCTCACGTGGCACAGTCTCGTTAGCTACTGGACAAAACTGGGGAAATATTACCGTACGCAATCCCACCTTAATTAACTAGTTTTAAATTTTCTTAATCCGGCTTAAGATTTAAAAATGGAAAAAGTAAGCTTTTTAATCCACTTTCTGCTCTTCCCTTCCATTACAGGACCAGTCAAAGCCATATTTAAAGAGCAAAAACAAAGGAGAGCTTTCAATTTTTTTGCTCCCTCCGTCCTCTCATTTTGAGCTTCAACCTCCAAGGGAGATTCGATGGGTGGGTATGCTGTTTTTTAACGCATTAATCATGTAATTGAAAGCTCTTAGCGTGATGATCTGTTTTGTTTTTTATTTTCATCTCTTTTCCCGTTGTTTTCTGTAGCTGAAATAGTGTTCTTTTGATTTTGCAATGTGACGGGAATGGAGAATCAATGCATGCAAATATGCTATATGCGTTCAAGCTTTTAATGGTTCTTAGTTGAATGCAATGCAATTTATGTGAACTTTGTTTGATTTTAGTTTTAGGATCGATCGATGAGGGATATTCAAATGGTGCTAATCCGGGAAATTTTCCGATGGTTGGATCGGAGAATGAAGAGATTTAGGCTAATGCCTCTGGTTGCTGAGAAAATGGTGGAAAATCGAAGAGATCGGATTTTGCATTTTAGGCTCAAATCTGAATTCTCTCTTACATCAAAATGAATTGAATCATTTCGTTTCATTGTTTATCATTTTGTTTTTGAATTTCGGTGAAAGTATTGCGCAGTTTCTAGAAACTGTCATGATCATGTTGTTTATTGTATGTAGTATATGGATTTCATAATCAGTGGTTTTGAAGCTATGATTTCTGTTTACTGATGCATGGACAATCATTTCGTCTCCAGTGAGTAGTGAAGTTTGTTGTTCAACTCAACTTATTGATGGAGATGGTGGATTCAATGATGCCGGAATTGAACAATTCATAAAGGCGATTAAACTGGCAGAATGTGGACTGTCGTATGTTATAGTCTCCATCATGGGACCACAAAGTAGTGGTATGCATCTATATCATTATGACAATATGATTTCTAGTGATGCTGTCATTCTGGTTTTAAAAGATGCCGTTGATTTAAATATTTTTGCATGAGAACCTATGGCATGTGTGAAATGTGTAATAAAATTGATCAGAACTTTGTTAGAAACAATTTAGACAAAGGCATTTGTGTCATGTCTATTTTAGTTATTAGATATGATTTTTATTTTCTTCATGATATCTTTTGGCAGCTTTATACTTAAAGTACATCCCTTTGCAAAATTATCCTAACATCATTAATTTTTTGGTTCTTTGGTGGTGTTTGTTATATGAGTTTTAGCATATGCCATTTATAGTGTTTTCACATTGCTTTCCATGATTGTAACAGGTAAAAGCACACTACTAAATAATTTGTTTGGTACCAATTTCCGGAAAATGGATGCATTTAGGGGACGGTAAGTACTTCTTAAGCTCTCATAATATATTACTCTTCATTTAATTGTCTAAACAACTGAAAAGATGTGCTCCTTTTGAGGTCTCAAACCACAAAGGGTATATGGTTGGCAAGATGTGCTGGTATAGAGCCATGCACTCTAGTAATGGACTTGGAGGGCACTGATGGGAGAGAACATGGAGAGGTGATATTACTAGCTTGCATTCACTTGCATATATTGGCCAAAAATTTATACCACATACAATCATGTACATCTATCTTCCATTGCCTTCAAGAAAAAATGTTTAATTTATGAATTCATATCATGTATAAATTGGTTTTTGTGCATCATATCTGTAAAATAAAACTTTGCAGAAATGGGATTTTGTTGCCTGCAATATTTCTTGTGATTGGTTTATAAAAGAAGGTGGATGAACTAAATTGTCTGGGGCCTTTCATTGGAAGAAATATTTAGGAATTCTCAACGGTCTACCATCTTAGCAACACATAAATGCATAGAACTAGCAAACCCATTGAGTTCTAAGAATATGGGTGCTGGAGAGATGCTTGCTGACTTGAATATCTTTGGCTCTATTCCAGGATGACACTGCTTTTGAGAAGCAAAGTGCTCTTTTCGCCCTAGCAGTTTCAGATATAGTGCTAATAAATATGTAAGTTCGTAGTTCTATTGCACAAAAAAGGTGCATCATTAGGATTTCTGACATTTAGTTTGATATATTATAATTCTGTGAAATAGGCATGTTGTTCATGTAAGTAATGTTCTTGAATGTCTTTTTATTTAGGTGTTGTCACAATATTGGTTGGGAGCAAGCTTCAAATATGCCTCTTTTGAAGACTGTATTTCAGGTACTCATTGTATCCACCATGTAAGAAATTTTCCCCAATTCCAAAAGCTCTGTTATTCAATTAATGTTGTTTGGTTGTAGGTCACGATGCGGTTGTTTAGTCCATGTAAAATAACTTTGATGTTTGTCATACATGATAAAACAAGGGTAGGTCTAGTTCTTTGCTTGTCTAGATGTACAATGGTTGAGGAGCCTAAATATATGTTCACGTTTTTCTGATGTAATTTTTTTGGAGAAGGGGTTATCTAAGTTTTTGGTTTTAAAGGACTTTTGGAATTCAGTAATTCTCTGATAATGAGTTGATTCTTCTTTGTTTACAGACACCACTGGAAAATCTAGAACCTGTTCTAAGAGAAGACATTCAGAAGGTAAATGATACGCAGTGCCTCTGCTTTCTTTCTTTTCTGATTAAATTTAGCATTGTTTTCTTCCAAGCCTTTCCCCCTCTAATCAAGAAACATTTTATTCTGAACCATTTCTATGGAGCTGCAGATATGGGACTCAGTTCCTATGCCTGAAGCCCACAGGGAAACTCCACTAAGTGAATTTTTCAATGTAAGATGTCAGGATTTATGTGCCATAAGCTTCTGTCCATCTTTTCCTATTTCTGAGGGTTACTGCTAATTTTATTGTTAGGTTGAAGCAGTTGCACTTTCTAGTTTTGAAGAGAAAGAAGAGCAATTTAGAGAGCAGGTACCCATATCTATATCTATCTCTGATAAGGATGTTTAAGGTGATATTCTTCCATCTTTTCTTCATAAAATATAAGCAAAGTTCATATTCTCCTTTGTTTGAAAGAATATAAAGCAAAACTTCGTTTTATGAGATGTCTTTCTGTAGAGTTGTTATGTAAATTTGTGCAGTGACTTCTTCTCCTTTTATTTTATCCAATTTATTCATTTCATTCACAAGTTACAATGTGTGGACATTTGGGTCAATCTTCTGTCTTTTTCTTTTTTGCATCTTCATCATCTGCACTTTAGGTCTTTGCCTATTTTTTATAATGTTTCCTATGTATTGGACCATCGCTGTGGACTTCTCTGGCACATATGCATCCTATCCTATCTGATCCTGTTGTGATTCTCTGATTGATGAAGGTTGCTAATTTGAGGCAACGATTTTACCACTCCATTGCCCCTGGTGGGCTTGCAGGAGATCAAAGAGATGTTGTACCTGCTTCAGGATTTTCATTTAGTGCGCAGCAAATCTGGAAAGTCATCAAGGAGAATAGGGACCTTGACCTTCCAGCACACAAGGTAACTTTTTAAATTTAACATGATAGAGGCCACTTTATAACATATGATTCTTGACCATTTGTAGATTTGCTTTCACCCATGTCTTATTTGTTTGTAGGTCATGGTAGCTACTGTACGCTGTGAAGAAATTGCTAATGAAAAATATGCTGCCTTCACTACAAA